CCTTTGATATGCCTATATGCATTACTAAAGAGCAAATGTGTATTCAAGTGAATAAAAGCAGACTGGACTCAAGTTCAGTGTGCTCGTCACGAGACACCCCTGGCCCCCAATGCCTTCTAAATTCATATTTCTTGTATAGTATTTTCATTTGTGAGTGGCCCCTTCTTCGGATCCTGAACCCTAACCATGCAGGTTGCAGCAATAACCCTGGTAAACATATATGCACCCAATATATGAGCACCTCACTATATATATTTTAAAAAACCACTTATAGAGAACTTTTAGGGAGAGAACAACAATACAGTCATGGTAGGCGAGTTTAACACCTGCTGACTTCATTAGATAGATCTTCCAGACAAAAATTTAACCCGGAAACAGAGACTCTAAAGCAGGGGTCCTCAAACTTTTTAAACAGGGGGCCAGTTCACTGTCCCTCAGACCGTTGGAGGGCCGGACTATAGTTTAAAAAAAAACTATTAACAAATTCCTGTGCACACAGCGGCGGCAAAAACACCCGGCGGGCCGGATAAATGTTTTCAGCGGGTCACATGTGGCCCGCGGGCCATAGTTTGAGGACCCCTGCTCTAAAGGATACACTGGATCAGATGAATTTAATTCACATTTATAGAACATTTCATCCCAAAGCTGCAGAATATACATTATTCTCAAGTGCAAATGAATCATTCACAAAGATAGACCACATGTTTGGACACAAAACAAGTCTCTACAAGTTCAAGAAGATTGAAATCATATCAACCATCTCAGATCACAGTGGAATGAAATTAGAAATCAACTACAGTAAAAACACCCCAAAACATTCAAACTCATGGAGGTTAAATAGCATATTATTAAACAATGAATTGGCTACCAACAAGATCAAGAAAGAAATAAAAATCGTCCTGGAAAAAAGTGAAAATGAACACACAACAATCCAAAACCTATGGGACACAGTGAAAGCAGTCTTCAGAGGGAAGTTCATAGCACTATAACCTTCTTTCAAAAAAGAAGAAATATCAATAATAAACTATTTAACCTTAAAACTCAAAGAACTAGAAAAGCCCAGAGGAAGTAGAAGGAAGGAAATAATAAAAATTAGATCAGAAATAAATGACACAGACACTTAAAAAAAATAAATAAATGAAACCAAGAGCTGGTTCTTTGAAAGGATAAACAAGATTGATGAACCATTAGCCACACTCATCAAGAAATAAAGACCCAAAGAATTAAAATCAGAAATGAAACTGGAGAAGTAACCACTGACACCACAGAAATACAAAGGATTGTAAGAAAATATTATGAACAACTATATGCCAACAAACTGGACAATGTGGCTGAGATGGAAAAATTCCTACAAAAATACAATTGCCCAAAACTGAATCAGGAAGAATCAGAAAACCTTAACAGACCGATAACAACTGATGAAATTAAAGCAGTAATCAAAAAATTTCGAGCAGCCCTAACCGGTTTGGCTCAGTGGATAGAGCGTCGGCCTGCGGACTGAAGGGTCCCAGGTTCGATTCCGGTCAAGGGCATGTGCCTGGGTTGTGGGCACATCCCCAGTAGGAGGTGTGCAGGAGGCAGCTGATCAATGTTTCTAACTCTCTATCCCTTTCCCTTCCTCTCTGTAAAAAATCAATAAAATATATTTTAAAAAAACACACAAAAAAACTTCCAGCAAACAAAAGCCTGGATCCAGATGGCTTCACAGAGCAGTTTTACCAAACATTCAAAGAAGAACTAACACCTATACTACTCAAACTATTTTTAAAACTTCAAGAGGAAGGAACACTTCCAAGCTCTTTTTATGAGGCCAGCATTATCCTAATTCCAAAACCAGATAAAGACACTACAAAGAAAGAGAACTACAGGCCAATATCCCTAATGAACACAGATGTTAAAATCCTCAACAAAGTATTAGAAAATTGGATCCAGAAATATATTAAAAAGATCACACACCATAACCAAGTGGGATTTTTCCAGGGATGCAAGGATAGTACAGTATTTGCAAATCAAGAAACGTGATACATCACATGAACAACTTGAAAGACAAAAATCACAGGATCATATCAATAGATGCAGAAAAACCATTCAACAAAATCCAACACCGATTTTTGATAAAAACTCTCAGCAAAGTGGGAACAGAAGGAGCATATCTCAACATAATACAGGCCATATATAACAAACCTACAGAGAACATCATACTCAATGGGCAAATACTAAAAACATTTCACCTAGGAACAGGAACAAGACAGGGATGTCCACTTTCACCACTCTTATTCAACATAGTACTGGAAGTCCTAGCCATGCAGACAAGAAGAAGAAATAAAAGGCATCCAAATTGGAAAGAAGGAAGTAAGACTCTCATTATTCGCAGATGACATGATATTGTACATAGAAAACCCTAATGATTCCATCAAAAAACTACTAGACTTAATAAATGAATTCGGCAATGTAGCAGGATACAAAATCAATACCCAAAAATCGATGGCTTTTTTTGTACACCAATAATGAATTCCCAAAAAGAGAAACAAAAAATCTCATTTACCACTGCAACAAAAAAATTAAGATATTTAGGAATAAACTTAACCAAGGAGGTAAAAGACTTATACTCAGAAATCTACAGGATGTTGAAAAAAGAGATAGAGGAAGATATACACAAGTGGAAGAATATAACATGTTCATGGATTGGTAGAATCAACATTATTAAAATGTCCATACTACCCAAGGCAATCTACAGATTCAATGCAATCCCTATTAAAATACCAACACCATATTTCACAGATCTACAACAAATACTCCAAAAATTTGTATGGAACCAAAAAAGACCCCCAATAGCTGTAGCAATCTTGAAAAAGAAGAACAAGGTTGGAGTAATCACAATACCAGACATCAAGTTATACTACAAAGTCACCATAATCAAACAGCCTGGTACTGGCACAATGAAACAGAACAGAGAACCCAGAAATCGACCCAAGCCATTATGCTCAATTAATGTTTGACCAAGGAAGCAAAAGCATACAATGGAGTCAAGATAGTCTCTTCAATAAATGGTGTTGGGAAAATTAGACAGATACATGCAAAAAAATTAAACTAAACCACCAACTTACACCATACACAAGAATAAACTCAAAATGGATAAAAGACCTAAATATAAGTCGGTAAGCCATAAAAATTGTAGAAGAAACCATAGGCAGCAAAATATCAGACATCTCTCATGGCAATATGTTTACAGATATATCTCCTAGGGCAAAGGAAATAAGGAGAAAATAAACAAATGGGATTACATAAAAATAAAAAGCTTCTGCAAAGCAAAGAAACCATCAACAAAACAAAAGAGGAGCCCACTGTATGTGAGAACATATTTGGCAATGATGCATCTGATAAAGGGTTAATGTCTAAAATATATAAAGAATTCAAACAACTTAACAAAAGGAAGACAAACAATCCAATTAAAAAGTGGGCAAAGGACATAAACAGACACTTCTCCAAATTGGACATACAGAAGGCCAAGAGACATGAAAAAATGCTCAAAGTCACTGATCATCAGAGAGATGCAAATTAAAAGAACAATGAGGAATCACCTCACACCAGTTAAAATGGCTACCATCAACAATTTAACAAATGACAAGTGCTGGCTGGCAAGGATGTGGAGAAAAGGGAACCCTAGTACATTGCTGGTGAGAATGCAGACTGGTGCAGTCATTATGGAAAACAGTATGGACTTCCCTCAAAAAATTAAATATGGAACTGCCATTTGACCCAGTGATCCCACTTCTAGGAATATATCCTATGAAGCCTGAAACACCAATCAGAAATAATGTATGCACCCCTATGTTCATAGCAGCACAATTTACAATAGCTAAGATCTGGAACAGCCCAAGTGCCCATCAGTAGACGAGTGGATAAAAAAGCTGTGGTACACTGATACCATAGAATACTATGCAGCAGTAAAAAAGAACAATCTCTTTCACTTTGAGACAGCAAGGAGAGACCTAGAGAGTATTATACTAAGTGAAATAAACCAGTAGAGAAAGGCAAGTATCACATGATCTCACGCATATGTGGCATGTAATGAACAAAATAAACTGATGAACGGAGTGGTTCCAGAGACATGGAAACATGGAACAGAGTGCAGCATCTTGGAAGGAATGCATGGGAGGGTGGATGAGTGGGAGGTGATCAGCCAAAGAACTTGTGTATACATATGCATAGCCCATGAATACAGATAATAGGGTGGTGAAAGCCTGGGGTAGGCTGGTGGGGGTCAATGGGAGAAAAAAGGGGACATATGTAATACTTTCAACAATAAAATTTTTAAAAAAGATTTAAAAAATTACAGACTAATATCACCAATGAACATAGATGCAAAAATTATTAACAAAACATTAGGAAACTGATTTTCAACAATACATTAAAAAGATTATACACCACGATCAAGTGGGATTTGTTGCAGAATTCAAGGATGGTTCAGTACCTGAAAATCAATGTGATACACCACATAAATTTAAGAATAAAAATTATAGATCATCTCAAGAGACGTAGAAAAGTATTCAACAAAATTTAACATCCATGTATGATAAAAACTCTCAAGAAACTTAGTATAGAAAAAAACATACCTCAACATAATAACAGTCATATTCACAGACAAACTCACAGCTAACACCATACTCAATGGTAAAAAGCTGAAAGCTTTTTCTCTAGGACCAGGAACAAGACAGGGATTCCCACTCTCACCACTCTTATTCAACATACTATTGGAAGTCCTAGACACAGCAATCAGAGAAGAAAAAGAAATAAAAGACATCCAAATTGAAAAGAAAAAAGTAAAATTGTCACTATTTGCAGAGGATATTATACTACACATAGAAAACTCTAAAGTTATACCTCCAAAAAACTATTAGAACTAGTGAATAAATTCAGTGAAGTTGCAGAATAGAAAATTAGTTTTCTAAAGACAAATAATAAACTACACAAAAAAAATATTTTAAAATCCAATTTACAATTGCAAAAATACCTAGGAATAAATTTATCCAAAAAAAATTAAAGACCCCTCCTCTAAAAACTAAGAGACATCGATGAAAGAAATTGAAGGATAAACCATACTCGTGGATTAGAGATATTAATATTGTTAAAATGTCTATACTACCTAAAGCAATCTACAGATTTAATGCAATCCCTATCAGAATACCTATGGCACTTTTCACAGAACTAGAACAAATAATCCTAAAATGTATATGGAACCACAAAAGACCTTGAATAGCCAAAGAAATCTTGAGAAAGAACGTTAGAGGTATTACACTCCCTGATTTCAAACTATACCACAAAGCTACAGTAATCGAAACAGTATGGTACTGGCACAAAAACAGACATGTAAATCAATGGAACAGAACAGAGTCCCAAAGTAAAAACACACTTATATATGGTCAGTTAATCAACAACAAAAGAAGTAAGGATATATAATAGGGTAAGACAGTCTCTTTAGTAAGTGTGTTGGGAAAATTGGACAAATACATGTAAAAAAAACCAAAACCCAAAAGTAGACCATTTTCTTACACCATATACAAATATAAACTGAAAATGGATTAAAGAATTAAATGTAAGACCAAAACCATAAACGTACTAGAAGAAAACATAGGCAGAAAACTCTTTGACATTGGCCTTAGCCATAACTTATTGGATATATCTACTCAGGCAAAGGCAAAAAAAGCAAAAATAAACAAATGGGACTATATCAAACTAAAAAGGTTTTGCAAAGTAAAGGAAATCATTAACAAGATGAAAAAGCAACTTACTGAATGAGAGAAGGTATTTGCAAACAATATATCCAATAAAGGATTGATCCTATCTAATAAAAGAGTAATATGTAAATTAACCATCACTCTATGACAAAGATGGTGGAGCCCATAGTGGCCAGGGCGGGACGCAGGCAGCATCACCCTAGCAAAGCAAGCCCAGTGTCCGCACCCCGGCCGTGCGGAGGGAGGGGAGGGGAGAGGAGGGCCTCAGGCTGGAGGCCACCCCGGCTGCGTGGAGGCAGGGGAGGGGAGGGGCACCAGCCGCACAGAGGGATGGGAGGGGCCTCAGGTGGGGGCTGGGGCGAGGGACTCTTGCGTCGTTGCAGGCCGGCTGAGGGACCACCCACCCGCCGCCACCATGCACGAATTTTGTGCACTGGGCCTCTAGTATCTGAAATATATAAAGAACTCATAAGCCTCAACATCATAAAAACAAACAATCCAATAAAAAAAATGGGCTGAAGACATATAGATAACAAACATAAATGAAAAGATGCTCAACATTACTAATCATTAGGGAAATTAAAGTTAAAACCACAATGAGATATCACCTCACACTAGTCAGAATGGTTATTATAAAAAAGACAACCAATAACAAGTGTTGCTGAGGATGTGAAGAAAAGGGAACCCTCATTCACTGTGGTGGGAATGTAAACGGGTGCAACCACTATGGAAAATAGTATGGGTATTCCTCAAAAAACTAAAAATATAACTACCATATAACCCAGCAATTCCAATTCTGAGCATATATCTGAAAAAAACAAAAGCCATAACTCAAGATATATGCACCCCTATGTTCACACCAGCATCTAATCTAATAAAAGAGAAACATGCAAATTGACCACACCTCTGCCATGCCCCAAGCCACGCCCACCAGCCAATCAGAGTGACTATATGCAAATTAACCCAACAAAGATGGCGGCCGGCAGCCACGGAGCTGGACCAAGCAGGAGGTTTGGTTGCCCCGGCCATGGAGGAAGCCAAGCTTCCTGCCTGCCCTGGCCCGCTCTGGCCTCCGCTCAAGGCAACAAAGTTTCAATTATAGAAGATAAATAAACCCCAGATACCTGCTTCCAGCCAGCCTCCACTGGGAGCTTGGGTGGCTGGGGGCTGTGGCCAGCCTGCAAACAGCCATCAGCCCCTCACCGAGCCTGGCCAGGCACCCCAGGTGGGACCCGCACCCTGAAGAGGCTGTGGCCAGCCTGCAAACAGCCATCAGCCCCTCACGCAGGCTGGCCAGGCACCCCAGTGGGGACCCCCACCTTGAAGGGACTGTGGCGAACCTGCAAACAGCCATCAGCCCCTTACCCAGGCTGGCCAGGCACCCCAGCGGGGACCCCCACCCTGAAGGAGCTGTGGCCAACCTGCAAACAGCCATCAGCCCCTCACCCAGGCTGGCCAGGCACCCCAGCAGGACCCCCCTCCCTGAAGGGGCTGTGGCCAGTCTGAAAACAGCCCTCAGCCCCTCACCGAGGCTGGCCAGGCACCCCAGAGGGAACCCCACCCTGATCCGGGACACCCTTCAGGGCAAACCAGCTGGCCCTCACCCATGCACCAGGCCTCTATCCTATATAATAAAAGGATAATATGCAAATTTACCCTAACTGCAGAACGACTGGGAATGACTGGTCACTATGACACACACTGACCACCAGGGGGAAGACGCTCAATGCAGGAGCTGCCCCCTGGTGGTCAGTGCACTCCTTACAGAGGGAGCTCTGC